CTAGGGACAATAAATATACAGCACTTTTATCCTATTGTTTTGCCCATAAAGAGTCTGCGGTTCATGGATTGGTCCCATGCTCTGCAGTTTTAGGTGTGCGGAATTTGAGTTGCCGAACAGAGACTTCATGAATGCTGAGACACCCAGGGACTGGACAGAGTCCTGTCTTCCTTGTTTCCTAGTGCCCACCAGAGCGCTGAGTGGGCATGGAAAAGGCACTCATTGACTGGAGGGAATAATGCTGGGGAGGTGACCATTACAGAGCACATGAGTGCCTGCAGGGTTTCCTTAGTGAAATTAATCAAAAAGAGCTACTCTTGTAGATGTTTATAAAAGAATGTGCATTTTGGTACACACACATATAGAGTTTGATAAATAGGTATCGTGTGCTGCCTGTTATACAGATACTTAGAAAAAAAATAGAACATTGCATGTTGCTTATATAACTTTTTCATTACAATGTAACATGTTTATTGTAACTTTTTTAAAGACATCTATGAGAAACTTTTATTTAACACTATATTATAAAAAATTTAGAACTCAAAGGAGTGCAAATGATACAATGAACACTCATGTAAGTTATGACTGAGATTTGACAATTGTACAATTTTGTCATATTTGCATTATGTTATTTTTCATGAATTCTTTCAAATAAATTACAGAAATTATTACCTTTTCATCTTCAATACTTTGGAACGCAGCTCTAAGTAGTAAGGACGTTTTCCTACAAAGTATTCTTAAAGCTATAAATAGTTAACAATAAATCTATAATATGATGTAACAATCATTATATATTCAGATTTCTCTAGCATCCCTGGAAAAGCCCTTGACTTCTAATTTGTTCATATCAGTATCTAATTGTAGACCATCATTTGCATTTGGGCTTTGGGTTTCTTAAGTTCCATTGAATCTAGAACTCTCCTCCCCTCTTCCCCACTTTTTTTTCATAATATTGGCTTGCTAAACATATGAAACAATATGTTCTACATATTTTGTAGAATAGGTTAGTAAATTTTATTCTATTTTACTATTTATTTATTTTTATTGAAGTTATTATAACTGTTTTGAAAATATAGATGAACCAAAGGGGAAAGGGGGAAAAACAAAAAAGATTCTCTAGTGTTAGTATTGTAGTATGTAGCTGACTAATATTTCTGTTTTGCCTTTTTATTTTTAACAAAATGAGTCTGTGATATAATTCTCCTTTATGACCTCATTTTTAAACTACCGGACATCGTACCATAATTTTCCATATCCCTAAGTATTCATCTACTACATCATTTTCCTGCAGTATTTTCAGTGATGATAAGTATGTCATTGTATGGATGTTGAATACAGGGATCAATCAATCAATCATGAGTGAATCTTCTGTTGTGCCTCCAGTTAAGATTCTGGCTCATTATCTCTTTGCTACACTCATATATGATTTTTAGAACTATGTTGCCTTCACCCAAAAGTGTTCTCAACCCTGACCTTCCTCTGTAGATCCCACACAGAGAAGTTAATAGGAGAAGACGGATGAGCATTTGTTGACTCCAGAAAATGGGAAGCTGTGGTTTTAGGATAAATAAATGACAGTGCTCCTTTTATAGTTATGGTAATGGTAGAGTCTATTTTACACTCTTTCCTTTTTCATTTGGAGTAAGATATGAACAGGCTTTTGAAGGGCTTTGGTAAATTCATGGGTCATGGGCCCATGATGGATAAGTACAGAATGGAAACGTGCAGTTTATTCACACATATGCCGGGGGTGCCACACTGTTCCAGCATGGTGTTTACTGAGTTCCAAGGAGGGTGGAAAAGGACCCTGTCTTGACAGATTCATGGCAGGATGACCCAGGTAGAGGCTACCTGCAGTTGCCCCGAAATGGGTCTGCATAGTGACCTGAGGGTGGTTTCCCCCAAGGAGGGGTGGTGTCTCGTTGGAAGGGCAGCCCGGTCCTTAGGCTGCTGAGTGATCCAGTGCTGAGGCCGTTTAATGGCAGAGGCTTGGGTGTGGGTGACGGGAGCATAGATGATTTCCCCCAGAATGATGTTTGGGAAATGATTTCTGCATTACTAAATATATTCTAATTAATAGATATGCCTTGTGCTGTCAATAGCCAATTGAAGTTTGTTTGTTTTTTTAGAACTTTGCATTAAATAGAGAACACTGAACTGGGATGCTGTCATGCCACTCTAGACATCAGGAATAATTCTCTCGGAAGATGATAGACATCAGTCAGCATTTGTCATTAGAAATGAGGAAGATTTGCCTTTTAAATTTTGTAACTGGGTTTACAACTCATTATCTCAAAACTGGATTTTTATTACATCGCCTTGTGTTACATGCATTTTCAGAATTAGACACAATGAAACTTATGGATAGAATCTTCGGGAAGTAAATCAAAGAGTAGCATAGAGTTTTCTGTTTGTAAGTTCCAAGCAAGTACATTAGTCTAACAAAATTTTATTAAAGAATAAAATATGGGTGTATATACATATATATGCATTAGACATAAGTAAGAGAGACAGAGAGAGAGAGAGAGAAAGCAAAGCAAATGATGTAAATTACCAAAGTTGGAGGAACTGGTGAAGGATATTAGGAGTTCTTTGTATTATCTTGTAACTTTTCTATAAGTTTCATTCTTTCTGTTTTCTTTTTTATTTTATTGAAGTATAGTTGATTTACAATGTTGTGTTTATTTCTGCTGTATAGCAAAGTGACTCAGTTATACATATATATATTTTTTTCATATTCTTTTCCATTATGGTTTATCACAGGATATTGAATATAGTTCCCTGTGCTCTACAGTAGGACTATTATTCTATATATAATAGTTTGCATCTGCTAATCCCAAACTCCCAATCCTTCCCTCTCCCACACCCCTCCCCCTTGGCAACCACAAGTCTGTTCTCTATGTCTGTGAGTCTGTTTCTGTTTCGTAGATATGTTCACTTGTATCGTATTTTATTTTGTTTTATTGCTTTCTTTTTTTTTTAATTAAAATGAGCTTTTTAAAAAAAATTTTATTGGTGTGTCTTATTTTATATTCCACATATAAGTGATATCATATGGTATTTGAAGTTTGATGTCATTTCTAAATAAAGAGTTAAAAAAATGTTACTGTTCACTGATTTGAATTAGACAAGAACCAAGGAGTTCAGGGCAGACCCTCAACGAAGAATTAGATCCCCATAAAATTGTTGATGCTTTCCTGCTGCAGAGGACAAGGGCTGTGTCAGAAACCAGGCGGCAGTGGTGAGATGGGACCGCACAGAACTTTCTTCCATGGCTATTTTTTTTAGCAAGGGGTCACCCTACTTAAGGCTGCTCTTTGAGAAATTCATAATAGAACACTGCTTATTAGGGTACTACAGTTCACATTTGAAATGGATGTTTCTTAGGAGAGTAAAAAATAAGGAATCTCAGTGGAGCTGAAAGAGCGCTTTTCCCAGCACTCCTGAATCCTAGTGGAAGCTGCCCAGATAAAACAACTCAGTACTTTGAAATTTTAGGGGAAACACAATTTGAATCAGCCTGCCATCTCATTTATTGTTTGGAGATGAAAAGAGCGGAAATGAACATCCCCTCAAAATGTAGATGCTGAGAATTTGTCAGGTTCTGATTTTTACATGAGATTTCTTATAGTTTCTCTTTCTTTCGTTTTCATTTCCCCCCCTCTGTTTGTTTCTTTCTCTTTCTTCGTTTCGTTTCCTCTTTTATTTCTTTCTTTCTCTCTTTCTTTCCTCTCTCCGCCCACCTCTCTCTCTCTCTCTCTCTTTCTTTTCTCCTTCTCCTTTCCTTTCTCCCCTTCCTTCTCCTCATGTTTCCTTCTCCTTCACCTATCATAAGGGGAAATCTTGGGATCAGTGAAAGATATAGAAACTTGGGCTCATTTCTAGAGCTCTGATGTAGACAGGCCTAAGTCCCAGTGAAATCAATTCACTGACTGCCTCTGAAACCAAGAGCTGCTGGATGACTCAGGGTTTGGTCTATTGTGTTCTGCGGGTCCCCTATGGAGACCACACCTCTTTACTGGCCCAACTTTAGTGTAGCTAGATTCAAAGCAAAATGTTGTTTCTTCCAGAGAACAAGTAATTTCCTGAAAATGAGTAATTAAAAGGCCTGAAATCCTCTAAGGAATGTTCAGGCCTACAATTAGCTGTATTTCCTCTGAGTGGAAAACAGACGTGTGGCCCTGAACTTACAGCTCAGATTTTAAAACACTTAATGAGGACGTGGCATCTCTGTGTAGCCAAGAGTTCTATTGGGGTCTGTTGTCTGCAACCTGGACGTTTGTCAGAGGGGGCCAGCTTGCTGCCATTATAAAACATTCGTAGTCATTTAAGTGCCTTGGATTTTAAATAAATATTTGAAAATGAGGATTTGACAGGTTTATTTTCCTCTTTATTTCTCTCAGCTACTTCCATTCTAGAGTCTTTGCATTTTCAACTACTTTATCGTGGAGCCGATAGCAATTACTTATGTTTGGAAGGAGAAAATGAAACTGTCCTGGAACATTCACTTGAGATGCTGAACCAGTGGAGGTTGTTAAAAATCAGCAGGTGAATGGCTATTATTAAACGTCGTCGCCTATTCACATGAAATAAGCACTACCTGCAAAGTGGAGGGGGTAGGGGCCTTAGGCCCCGTGACCCAGGCGTGTGGCACATCCGGGGAGACAGAGGCCCAGGAGTCCCCTCCGCACCCAGGGGCCTTGAGGAGCGCGCTGCCCACGTGAAGCCACTCGGAGTCCCGCCACATCTGCATCCTGCCCCAGGGCGGCGTGTCACACAGCGGCACACTGGGTCACACCTGCTGTGGTCATCCCAGGCCCAGGCAATTGATGTCTTTTTTTTTTTTAATTGAAAAAAAAAAATCTCCTGGCTGCATATCATCAAGAAAAACAACATTGTTTTCAGGGTCTCTTATCTCTCCACTCCCAAATATCCTGTTTCTTCGGGCTGGGCGGCCAGGACCAATAGAAACCTCTTCCTGCCATTGACTGACTTCATTTCCCAGACTTAGCACAATCTCATCCGCTCTAAACAACCTCATCAAAACTACTTTCTGGTCAGAGAGAAGCAATAATTATTATTAACATTTATTAACGATCAATAAACTTGATTGCATTATGGCCAGCACTATTAAGGTAAGGAGAGGGTTCCTTTTCATTTGACCAAATTCTGTGCTTGTTACTCTTTTCTTTGGTTTCCTTTATCAACGCAGATAAGTTAGCATTGGGCAACACCCCCGCTGCCACAATAGAGGACAACAAGATTTCCTTTGCACTGCCTAGTAAATTTCCTTTTTCCTACTCCAACCATCCGCAAGGCTTAAAAACTTCAAACTCAGAAAAAAATTGGGGTTTCTAAATTCACGGTTGAGGGCTGTGGATGACCTTTTGCAAAAGCTTTTCAAAGAGCGCGTCCGAATTTTCATATTCTTTAACTATCTCTAGCGGTGCCTGGATGTGTATCTGCTGGAAGGCAATGGACTTGGAGAGTTTGGAGGGCAGGGTCGGAGAAAAAGATGGGCTTGGAAATGTTGAACTTTTGGACGTTCTTGAAGGCCTCCTTACCATCAGGGGTGCCAGCCGGTCCCTGTGGAAATGAAGAGATGCCTGGCAAGTGGCTGTCAGTCATGGGACATGCCAATGTTGACTTGATTTTTGGAACCTTCAGGCTGAGAACAGAGCGTTCTCATAATGCAAATGGTGGTAATTCGGTTTGTTCGGTTATGTATTTATCTTTAATAAAGTACCTACTCCTCGGTGCACTGTGAATAGACTTTCTTCTCCGTGATGGTTGCTTTGTGGGAATTGCGGGTTGGTTCTCTGTGCTCTGGGGTGTGTGGTCTGATGTTTTGTTTTTCTTGCAAATAGAGATTAAGGTGGAGGTGGATGCACAGAGGTAGAAACGTGAATGTAGTCTGATTCCTGGAACTGAAGCCAGTTTGATGGTTAGTGCAAGTTGGCGGCATAGAGCCCGTGAAGTGGTCTGTCACAATATTTTCAAGGCCAGCACGCCTTGGTGACATTTCTAGAAATGAGAAAAGTCAGGAGCAAAAACAGATACTGAATGGAGGAAAAAGCGAGTTTTATGGGTTGCGTGTCTTTAGTTTTGCTGCATGTAGGTGAGAAGCATTTGGTTGTGTTTTCATCAAGGGTTTTAGTTGATCTGAAAGCTCATGAATATAGAAGTTTGCCCAGAACTGGGCCAGGACAATTTTTAAAAGCCTCTTTGATTTGGAATTTGAAATGTTTTGTGCGAGAGGATTTAATTAATACCCATTGCATAAACTATGTTTCAGAAGTTCTATTCAGTTTCTAGTTCTCAAGATAGGTTTTGGTTTTCAAGGTATGTTCAATAATACATATTAAAAAATCATGTATCAAAGATTTTAATCTTACAGAGATTTTTCTTTCTTCAAGGATTGAAGTCTGCTGAAGTATAACTGTATAGAAAGGAATTTTAAAATTGAGGGTTTGATGTACTCTGCTTTGAGCTATATGAGTAGAAATTATTTGATTTTATAACCCCAAATGCTGCCCTCTTAATTCTTATTTTTACCCTTATTTGTGTCCATATTTCATAGCAGTTGAATCTAATGTTCTTTGTAAATTTTGAATAGCTTGGGTACAATTGTGTGTGTGTGTGTGTGTGTGTGTGTGTGTGTGTGTGTGTTTCAAAAAAAATCAGTGTATTAAAGGACATTGAAATAACAGACAATCCTTTAGGGTGTGGGGTATGTTTTGCATAGAATACAAATGTGTCATACTGTTTAAAGTATACGTTTCTGAAAAGATGAAGATATTTTTGAAGCTTGAACGCTTTGTGTTTTTCAGGATGAATTTTGGGAAACAGTTTCCACTTACCCAGGAGATTATGCTTACTTTAACATTTGATTACACTGCATTATCTGTGTATCATATATAGCTTAAGTGAACTTTCAAAATGGCTTCAAGTAGACTCTTTTTAATCCTCTGTTAAAATAAAATAGCCCCTCTTTATAGGTAACTTCCTTTGAGAAATGTTCTGCTAGGCTTCCTGGGTAAAGTAGTGAGATGACTTTACAGACTTGTTTATAGAGTGGAAAAAAGGAGGCCTGAGTCTGTTGACTGCAGTTTTAATTATGTTAGTGCAAAGCTCAAATTAGCATAGGGAAAATTACGGCTGTCCGTTGGAATTAGGAAAGTCTGTCATACGGGCAATTTCCAGTCTCAAACGCACTCTGTTTTTTGTTGTTTCAGTAAATAGATCAATTAGTCCATCAAGCATCAGATGCACAGAATCTGTTAAGTTGGTCTCTGCATCTCTGGATTTTTTTTTTTTTTTTGGCGTGAATGTCTATAAGACCCTATGAGGCACTATGTTTTTATCCCGTCTTTATGATTCTCACCATCATTTTCCCTTGGTATTTTGGAAATGGTAACAGAGTGTTTCCATGGGAAGAAGTAAAGGAATCTTATGAGTTTATGTGAGTATGTCAGTTGGTTTATCCTTAAAGGGCCGTGGATTTTAAGATCAGATTAAGAGTTCTAATAAAAACGTAAGCATCAAAAGTGATGTTCCCACATGTAATTCACAAATCAGTTTTGGTGCTTCCACTTCTTCTGGGGCCACCTGATGATACCTGGGGGGTGCTTTACAACCCCCTCCCTTCCTTCTGCACAAAACAGGGCTGCCTTTGCTTACAGACTCCAAGCAGCCAGCTGTTAGCCTTGGAACTTGATTTTGCTTCGGTTAGGATTTTTAATCCAATCTCCCAGAGACTTCCCTGATCCTTTGTTATGCCTTGGGCCACTCGGGAAGTCTAATGAAGCCTGCAATCCCTTCTCAGATGAATGATTTTAAAATGCAGGAAAGGCAATACATAGAGTGACAAGGACAGCTAATACTATTGAAATCCAGTTCTGTCCTTGGACTCCTTGGGTGGTCCGTGAACCCCAGGTTACAGCCCCTGATCCTAGAGTTTAGAGGCCCTTAGTCTTTAAGAGGGGATTGTGGGCATTTTCCTTTATCACAGATCTGGCACTGGAAGACCAGGAGAGAGCAAACTGCAAAGAGCAGCGTGAGTGGAGAGCATCTTAGAATCAGGGGATGGAAAGTTACTAACAAGGCTTGCTGAGGGAGAGCACGATTACGGTGTCAATGAGCTGTTTAAAGAAGTTCCTTTCTTTGATTTGACAGAGGTTGGAGGGTTTTGATGATCACCATGGTATAACTTATAGGTGGAATCTAAAAACTACAACAAATAAGAAAAAGAAGCAGACTCACAGATATGGAGAACAAACTTGTGGTTACAAGTGGGGAGGGGAAAGGGAGGAGGGGTAACGTAGGGGTGGGGGATGAAGAGGACAAACCATTATATATAAAATAAGCTGCAAGGATATACTGTGCAGCACAGGGATTATAGCCAATATTTTATAATAACTAGAAATGGAATAGAACCTTTAAAAATTGGGAATCACTATATTGTACTTATATAATATTGTACATCAACTATACTTCAGTAAAAAAAAAGTTAATTTAAAAACATGAAGCATCTTTTACGTATTTCATGGCTTGCACATAGCAGGCTCTTGCTGAATATTTGCTATCATGTGTGAAGCAAACTTGTTTAAAATTAAAAGCTCAGGGTTATATGAAGGAAGTTCATATATAGGATTTTAAGGGATGTGATGAATGAGCTTAATAGCTCTAGGGCATATAAATTTTCAACAACTCATTGGCTCAAGTGGAATTTCAGTTGTTTCATCCCTTGTTACTTTAGAGGACTCTGTGACAGTGGAAGGAATAGAAAACGGAAAATACTGTTGCACCACTATGTGAATGTCATGTTTCTAGAACACTGGCCTAAAGGTGGAATTATGGGCCGTTATCTTAAAATGACTTGCTGCTTGAATCTGTGGGTGGCTCTGGATACAGTTTGCCCCCTCTGGACGGGATACAGCACTCTTCCTCCTACAGCTCTCTCTGAGGCTGGGCATGCTGCCTCAGTGGCCGTGGAAAGGAGAATTGGAAAGGATAGAATTTGTGGATCATTCTTCCCATGAAATATACTTATGGAGGACTGCAGTACTCTCAGAGAATGTTCTGGAAGTCTGAACTGTTTTTTAATTATCTATATTTTCTTTAAAGTGATTATTTCATTAAATTTTTTTTTTTTTTTTTACAAAACAGATCTTTGCTTAAATCTCTCCTCCACCCCAACACATACATACGCTTGTCGATGTCTCTTGAAAAACCATAAGTAGAAATAAAATAAATAAATGAAACAACCGTTCCTGATGCTTTCAGGAAAATATTACTTCTGTGTTTAGAATTTCAGAATAAGGTTCCCTCTGTGGGAGGGGAGACCCAAAGCAGAACATTCCGCTTTGGCATCCCAATACCCTGGCAGATTTAACAGCTGACGCAGAAGAGAATCACAATACAGGAGGCCGTTGGAAAGCCAGGAGCAGAGAGTTTCTCTGCAGTGTAAAATCTTCCGAGAAGAGGGTTTGACAGAGACAGTCTCCAGGCCTTTCCAATGGTGGTGGCACATCTGCTCCAGCAGGATTTTTTCCTAGGGCTTAGGGAATGCCTCAAATGCAGCATCCCCGCCTTTTGTCCCCACAGGTTAGAGGATGGCTCTTCTCTTCTCAGGGGACTTTGTCCCCCCGTCACCTCTGAGATTTCTTTACTTATGTTATGTGGCCACGGACACACCTGCATTTGAACCCTTCCTAGTCACGTGACCCTGGGCAAGGGCCCTAACCTGTCTGAGCTCCGCTTCCTCACCTGTAGGTGGGATTATAATGACCGTCCTGATGCGAGTCCAGGGTGGGAGAGCCTTTAGTAGGTGCTCAGTAAATGGCAGACGCCATCGGACAATCCAAGTCCATCTAACCTTTGCTGATAAATTGCACTGTCTTTCTGGCCCTGCTCTGAATTCTCTCTATGTGTTCCATTACCCGGCTTCAGTTGTGAAGCCCAGAGGCACACAGACTCTGTGCTAATGCTTTTGAAGAGACAGGGAGAATAACAGGTCACTTCCACAGGTCATTACTGCGGTGTCCCAGCCAGGGCAGGACACATGGGAGCCTGGAGAGGTGAGGGGCAAGGACCAAACACCTGGGCAGGCGGAGTGTCCGGGGGGTCCCTCAAG